AGGACAAATCAGTGTTTCTCAGCATCATCAGTTTTCCTTGCACAACATCATCTTATGACAATTTAATAGAAATATTCCCTACTCATGTCTTCATATGTGGGATGCACTGCAGTTTATACAGCCTTTATAGCTTAGTCGTTAATTTCAGAAAATTATTCTTGTAATGGGATTGTACTATAAGTGTACAGGTAGGGAAAATGAGGGAAAACAGTGCTTCCTGCTTATATCACAATTTTATGCAGCCTGGGAAGATGTACTGATCAACTAAAAGACCAAAGATCAGTACAAATATTTAGCTTTAGTGTTGCAGTTGCTCTAGTACTTTATTTTTTCTTTTTTAATTCCATTAAATATAGACCAATGTCAGCAAATCAAAATACATATGAATTCAGTGGCTAAGCAGTTCTCTGTTGCTCATGTAGATTATGTTTTATCGCTGTTTTACAGGAAACTTTCAGCTGGTTAAAGAGATCATTGATGAAGACCCAAGTCAGGTCAATATTACCAATGTTGATGGTGCGTCTCCATTAATGATCGCGGCTGTAACTGGACAGCTGCTCCTTGTTCAGCTCCTTGTTGAGAAAAATGCTGATATTGACAAACAGGATAATGTTCATGGCTGGACAGCACTAATGCAGGCCACATACCACGGGTAAGATATATGCTCTCTTTGGGTCTAGCAGTAAAGAAGTTTCATTCTTCTTACATCCCAATAGAAAAAATCTTCTTGATACTGACTCTGGAAGCAGAGGGGTCTTACAAGAAATTGAGAGACTTGTGGGCTCAGTTTTCCATGACTGTTGGACTGCCCTTTCACTGCACTTTCAGAGCGGACCTGAATGCCATTTGGATTTCAGAATGAGCGGCACATTTGGGAACTTGAATCTTGCTCAGTAAGTGCTGGGAACATAGTGCTGCAGGCAGGCACCGGGAGCTTTGGTGCAGATTTCAACTTCCATCCTTTGATGTTTTTTAGTGTTTTGTAAGATAGTATCACCCCCTGCCAGGGTTGTAGGCCTACAGCAAGTTGTGAAACTTCAAGGCAATCACCCTTCTATGTGCTATGTTTTCCAGTCTTAAAACCATTCTTATGTTCCCCTATTTAGCCTTTAGTTTTCATGGAGTTTTCTGAAATGCACCCGCTGGAGAACTGATTGTCATTTTCTCTAGAGCTACTTTATACAATGCAGGTAGGCACTTAAGAGTCAGACCCCAGAAAATGGCCTGGTACTTCACATGTGATCTCTGTCATATACTTCGTATTGTCTGAATATAGGATATTCGGTTTAGGAAGGCGAACTTTTCTCCATTGTTGTAGACGAGGCCCTCAGCAAGGTGAAGATTCACTTCACTGCCTGGTAACGCTCACGTTAGTTGTACAAATGCAGATATGCTGCTCCAGCTTTTATTTTTAGTCAGCAGATCTCATTGGACTATGAAAGTGCAACAAAGGGGAAAAATAGGAGGTCAAGTTGTCATTGCTTTGTGAAAATTTTCTGAAGTAGTTCCTGGGACCTACATAAGATGAGATTATCTGCTTCCTCACCAATGCAGTACTGATAGTAGTGATAGGCATTTCACAGAAGTGCCTGAAGATCAGTTTTTCTGGTGCGGCCATTTCGCTTATCAGCAGCCAGCCCAGCGCACAGCTGGAGTAGAAGCAACCAGCAGAAAGTGATGTGCAGGGCTGCTGGCATGTCCCCTTGCCGGTACTCAGGCACTCCTCTTGTCTGTGGAGGCACAGAGCGCAGCTGAGTGCTGCGTGTGTTCAGATACTGCCCTTTCAGTTTCCTGGAGGACTGTGTTATGAAAATTCCCTTCCCTGTTATATCAATTGGTCTTTATAGTATGAAATTTTATTAACTTTGTTAATACTTTTAATGTTTGAGGTGGTTGAATTTTACTGGAGACTTTGGTATTGTTCATGCTTAAGTAAAACAAACTAAAGGATGCCAGTGGAAGGACCAGAAGGACATCCCAGCCAAATAATATTTGGCTTCTTAGATTTGGAAACTTAGAGCTGTCCATGAAGGATAAAAGATACCCCTAGTCAACCAACATAACGCCAGCATCATAGCCTCTCTAACAATCTTTGAAGCCCTCCCAGTGTTGTCTGGCATCATAGATAAGTAACGATAGCAAGACTGACTCCAGGGACATCTGGATCAATAAATGAGCAGCAAGAATGCTGCAGAAATACAGTTGCTTTGCAAAGTTTTACTCTGATTAGTAATAGGTAGTGTGGGTGTTAGTGATTAGTCAAATCATGTTGTGCCTGAACACTCGAAGTGTACAAGAACCACATTCGGGGTGTCCCAATGTGGCTGGCACACCTCATGTGCACGAGTAAATATTTACCCTTGTAATTCTATACTTTGTGTCCTAGCCTATCTCCTTGGTCGGCATGGGCCAGTTGTGAATTTTTGTAAAAACTGGAAATCTTTAGTTTCCGCAGAGGCTCAGCTTACCCTTCCTCAGGAGTAACAGTGGTGTGGAGGGTCTCTGGTTTGAAGGAGGGAGCAGGCAAGGTCTGTGTGAGCCAGGGGCACTAAAGGATTGTGTCTCTGTGTGCCCTCAAGGTGCAGGACTGAAAAGCAGGGTAATGACACAGTTTGAAGGAAGAGAAGAAAAGCAGTGGGAAGTATGCAGAGGAGCTGTGGTGGGGATAAGCAGAATTTTTGTTAGAAGAGAGGAGGAACATTCCTTCTCCTTTTTTGGTTGATCTTACCTGGAGTGATTTCAGAAGTGAAAACTCCGTCTGTACAATAAGAAGTAACGCTCTGAAGTGGAGAGGTTGAGATCAGTTTGTCAGCTTCAGTAGAGTTTGCAGTCACCTATTGCTGCTTAAGAACATTTTTGCTCTGTGTTGCTTATGCATGTCAGAGTTTGTTTTTATACAAGGTCAGTCTCTGCTCCAGAGGAGTTTTGTATTAAATATATTTTCCCTAGCTTTGTTGTCTGTTTGCTTATTTTGTAGGCTGAATTACAGTATTGTTTTTAACTCAGGAGGCAAGTCCTGCTTATTTATTCAGGTGTATGAGAGGGGAGAGGGGCTAATAGGAATGGGATGGTGAGTTCCTTTTATGCAACTAGCTTTTACAAGCTTTTGTTGGAAGGTGTTTGTGTTGGTTATCATTTAATGCTGATTGTTTTTGCGTTTTAAACATCTCAAGGAAGTGATAATATGCCTTCTCAATTATATAATTTACATCTCTAATTAAGTGAAGTACTGTTTGGAGTTTATAAATTATCTTCAGTCAGTTTGGCTTTTCTGTGTGCAATTTCTTACCTGTTCTGAATATGAAGTTGTGCTGAAGCATTAGTGATGGCGTATGATGACTACTGGACTGACCTTTGTCTTTCCATCTGCTTTTTTGCCCTAGGCATTAATGCCTTTCATTGGGAAGATGTTTGGCAACAAATTCCAGAGTCAGTTCCAAAGGGTCAGCTTAAGAAACTGACTATTTAAATTAGGCTTTTTAGGCTGACTTTCTGCATGTTGGTTAGTGTAATTCATAGTGAGTTAACAGTGACTGACAAAGGACTCGTGGGAGCTTCTGAATAGCTTGTGAACAAATTTTAGACTTGGTTAGCTATAGAAAAGGTAAAACTGATCTCTAATTCAGGAGCAATGGTATAAAAGGATGAAAATGGAGTATTAGGATTTTCTTTTTCTTTTTAACATGAGCAATGCCTTTTTTTCTTCCCTTAAAGAAACAAAGATGTTGTAAAGTATTTGTTAAATCAAGGCGCTGACGTCAATCTTCGTGCAAAAAATGGATACACAGCTTTTGACCTGATAATGCTGCTGAATGATCCAGGTATGTTATTTCAAAGAGCACTGAGGATATGTACAACATAAACAGATAAACATCCCTTCCAATCTAGAAAATACATTAAAGTTGCTAGGAAATATCCTCTGAGGTCCGGGCTGGACTGGACCAAGAAAGGATACTGCCTGAAAATGGTGGGGTCTGAGCTGATTGGTTAGATGAGCATATACATCTATGGGATAACTGATCTTGTGTGTTCCTCTTGCCTTCGTTTTTGAAGATGCTCCAAAATGTGTTGTTTATGTCACCAGAACCAGTGCAGTGGCATTTGACTGTGGTGGCCCAGGTATTCTGTAGTGTCATTAGCACAGAGGCATGAACTGGAGCTAGAAATTTCCACTCAGTAAACAGCAGTAAAGGGGCAGGACAAAGAGAGTGCAGTCAGAACAAAACTAATGAACTCCTGGCTGAACCTCCTACTAGGTCTGTAAAGGCTGAGAATAAATCATAGAATCATAGAATAGTTTGGGTTGGAAGGGACCTCTAAAGGTCATCTAGTCCAACCCCCCTGCCGTGGGCAGGGACATCTTCAACTAAATCACGCTTCAGGGTTCAGGTTGTCTTTATGGGAGTACTTTAGAAAAAGGCAGCATGTTTTGGGGAGACTTCAATGAAACACATTTAGTTTTTGTTGTAGTTTGTTTAGCCTATATAATTTGTTATTGTTAACCTTGCCTGGGACCTAGTTTGCTTTATCTGAAGCCAAAAACCACTACCGCTGATGGAATTAATGTTTGTTTTCTCTGTATTTACTCATTATGGTGTTTTTGGTCACTAGCAGATACTTTTCCTTTGTCAAAAGTAGATCACTAATAGTATGACATTTTAGAAAATAAATACAGTGAATTATTTTATAACTAACTTTTTGTAGGACAGAGTAGTTTGTCTTATTACCTGTCAATATATATATAGATCAGTTCTGTCTGCCCTTCTGAAAGTCTGTCCTGACTTCTGTATAAAATACAGATTTACAGAATATTTTTTTTGCTTTCCTGTCCACATTGCGTGCTTGTTCTTTTTTCTTCCTCTTCCGCTCTCTTTTTCTTACTTTTTTTTCGTCCACCTTTTTTCTTACCATGTCTTTTCAGTCCCTTCATTGTCCAGGCTGAACATCTCCTTTCTCTTTGGGATTTAATTTCAAGCTTCTTTTCTGCAACCTACACCTGAAGAAAGGATATTCATTTTTCTCTACTCTCTTCTCTGTCAGGTGAGAAAAGGGAGCATCACTATATCGTTCTTAACTTCCACAAAGTGCAAGAGGAGGCAGTTCACTTGGTCACACATGACTGATTCCGACTGAATAGCATGCTTATTTGTATTGATAAATACCTTTAGAGAGGTGATGGTAAGACTGCAGCCCACTGTGTGGGGAGAAGGCGTGGGAAACCTGGGTCAAGAAAGAAGGTTTTGGGGATTCATCTGCTTTGTGTTTGAGAGGTAGATCAATTACTACTTATATGGGATTTATAGGGAAAGTGTCAGCATACCAGTCATAATTTGGGAAAGCAAAACAGACTAAACAATGTTAATTTGTTTTCTTTTAGACACAGAGCTTGTACGGTTACTGGCATCAGCATGCATGCAAGTAGACAAAGACAAGAATAAACTGAACAACAGATCATCTTTGCCTTGTTCCAGAAGTAGGCAATCCTTAAACGTCCCAATGTTGCCAGATGACAAAGGAGGTCTAAAGGTAAATATGTTCACTCTTAATAAACAACCAATGCATTGTTTCCTGTAATGTATGAAGCAGAGGAAGTCATTGCTAAGAAGTACTTTGGATCTAATATGTAACTGGGTTTTTTTGGGTATGTGTGTTCTGAATTGCAGAAATGCAAATGCGCATGTGTTCAGCTTTCTTTTTGTCAGACGGCAAGGCAAGGGGAAGACTTCTAGGGAAGAGTTTGCATCGAAGCATTTCAGTGCCTAGAAATAGATCTTATAATCAAGTAGCGGAAGGTACCATGTTCGTAAGTTTGGAACTGAATTTCCGTTATGATCTTCATTTTAAATCTGCCTTTAAAATCCAAATGTACTCCAGTTTTAGTAGACTGTTTTTATACTCATGGCTAGTTTTTTTTTCTTTTTTTGAAATTGGAATGGATGTGTTATGGGGATTTGGCTAGTATCTCCTAACATAGTGACAAACTGCCTATTTATATGTTTGTTCTGTGTAGGAATTGCAGCAGTAGTTCTTTTATTTTACTTTTATGGTATTTAGTAGACTCTAGAAGAAGGGTGATGTAGGAAGGAAACTGAAGCTCTGGTAATGTACTTGAAAATACTTCTGGGACTCTGTGCGGGACAGCCCAAGAGACTGAGAGGCTGTATCTCTTGTCTGCCTCTGGGACAGAGGGTAGACTTCATTTCAACCATAAATGGAAACAGGCTGTTGGCATTGAAAATTAAGAAGATCATAGCAGAGATTTTAATATGAAGAGTGTCAGTTCAGGCTTACCTGTCCTCTGGCATGCTGTGTCCTTAACTCGAAATTGGCAGTAGTAGTCCAGTAGGGAACAACATAGAGTCAGAACAAGTGCATGCCACTTAAACAAAGATATTGCGACTTACGTTGTCTGTTTGCGAAAGAGAAGGAAAAAGTATTAGTTTATTTTATTGTTGTTGCCGTTGTTATTTATTTAGGTGAATAATTTTTTATTATGGTGTACCTCAGAATTTCCTTGAGTCCATGATCTCACATTTTCAGTATAAATATTATCAGGGTCTTGGAAACACACGTGGTAATTTCCAGGCTATTGTTGACATGAATTTTAAAGACCATTTAAAGTTCTACTTCAGCTCAAATCTGTTTTGCAGTTTTAACTATGAAGCAACAAGTGGTTATTTTCATATGATTATTCCATTATTCGATATGATACAACTTCAGTATCAATTTAGATGGACCTATTTAAGAATGCAGTTACTTAGATGGGAGGTTGCCAGAACGGTTTTTGGCTTTATGGAATACAGATCAACAACAGGTTGGATTGCAATTCTTGCAGTGTTACGATGCAAAGGCTTGAATTAGGGTCATAAAAGATTATGAAGTGAAATTAAAAAAAAGGTAAGATTTGTCAATGATAAAGATATACACGAGTACTGACACAAATTTAATATTTTGATGTGTGGAATGTTTAAGTATTTGGTCTCAAAACACCAACATATTACAGTGTTTACAAGTTAAGTTTTAATCAAGCACTTTTTCAGCATAAATTGTATTCTGTACAGTTCTCTGACATATGTAACCTGAAAACCGATATAGCCCCCTCTTCCATCACTGCTTAATGCTTTATTAACCATTCTGTATGATCACAAGTATGTAACATATCTTACTCTCCTTACAAATGTTCAGAGAGGGTAAAAATGACATTTTCAGATTGGTGGGGGAGGGGTCATCAAACTCATCTCTCTTTGAACCAGCATGTGAAGAGAGTGCTGAAGTGAGGGACCTCTCCTGGGTTTTGTAGCAACGGTGCTTCCATGTGGACAACTGCTCTGTGCTGAGCCAGGGCTGTAATCCAAAGATATTTATGGTGACTCAGCCAGTACATAAATTTTCTGACTAGATCAATGCAAATGACAGAATGTGAGGTCTACAGAATCATGGAAGTGTAAACATGAGAGGGAACTCGAGAGGCTTACCTGCCTTTACGTAAGGAGACAGAATGAACATGCCAAGAACATCCTTGACAGAAGTTTCTGTTCTCTCTTCCTTCACTGTGATGAAGAAGATCCCTGGGTCCCATGGTCTCTGTCAGCACCCAGTTCCACTGCTTTGTCGCTTCTTGTGGTCAGAATTTTTTTTCCATGATCTAATCTATCTCTTTCTTCCTGTGTTTTAAGTTGATTGATTCTTGTTCAGTGGCCACCTTCATTTTTATAAGAACTACACAAATACTTAATGAATTGTCATATTCTCTTCAATCTTTTTTTTTCCCTAAACTAAACAAAAATAATTCATTCAGATTTCCTTGTTTGCAGGTTATGTTTCCTAAACTTCTTACTATTTCTGATTTGTCTGTATCTGCCAAGGTGAGGGATCCAAAATGAGTCATGAGATTCCAACTAGGGTCTCAGTATCACAGTCGCATACAAAAACTGCTTGCACAGTTGTGTGTTTCATGCTGTGATGAGTGAAATTCACCTTTTTTGCAGGAGTAAGACACTGTGCATCTATACTTAGTTTGTGGTATGTTACGAGACTGATTTTCTTTTTTCCTTTAGTACAGCTGCTTTGCTACTTACTTCCTTTTCTGTATTTGTACACTTGATTTCTTCTTCTTACATGTCAGCTTGACCCCTACTGCATAATGTCAATTTATCAGTGTTCAAATTCAGAGTATCTAAGGTGCTCACAAAACTGTCCAGATAGATGTCTTCCACAGACTGTGCAAAATATGTTATGTTTCATTGTTGCTGTTGTTACTGAACATTTCCAAACTCCTGTTTCACTCCATGAAGTATGTCCTCCCAATTTGAGATCAAATTGTTGGTAATTTGTCTCTTAATATGTTTTTTGGCTGTGGTGCTTTTCCTATATTAATTTTACTTGAATCGTATTTTCCTCAGTCGTTTGATGAATGTTGCATGGAATAGCGATAAAAGCTTTACTAACGTCAAGCTATGCTACAGCTTTTCCTCCCTTCTGCCCGCTTGACCAGTTATTCTGTCAGAGAGAGAGATTGATTTGGTGGAATTTATTCCCAGCAAACCCATGCCAGCTGTCTCTTATAAGCTGTGATGACGTACAAAGTTTTTTCAATGATGTCCTTTCAAGTTAAGCTTTTTGATCAGTAAATTTTCAGGTTTTCCTCTTTGGGGTGATGTATTTGCCTTTTGCCTGATTTCTGTAGCTTCTTCCAGCTTCTTAACTTATCTTGAAGATAATCAGTATTTGTTCAGAGGTCGTGTTGTCTATAATTACTCTAGGGTAATTTTAATCAGTCTTGTCTGGTTTTAATTTGTGTAAGCTCATTTAAATACTCTTACTCTGTTAGGCAAATGCACATATATTCCTACCTTCCTCCTGTTAACGGTATTCATGCTAAAATATCTGATCATAAGTAGGCTGCCTTTGAAGTTTAAAAAAAACAAACCTTTTTCAGTGTCTCCTGTTTGATCACTTCTGTCATTAACTAGCAGACTTTTTATTTTGTTGTGTGTTTGTTTTATTTGTAACTTATGCATAATACAGGGCCTTGTTCCTTTACCTACTAATTATGTAGTGGATAACCATGATCTCATTCTTTACCCCTTTCAAACAGGAACTGTTAACTGCTTTGTTTCTCACCATTTTGTGGACTTGAAATAAAAGTTGTGCCTTTTCCAAATGCAAAAATTTTATTTCCTCTCTTTTCTTCCTGCCTGTGCCTCTTCAGCGAGTTACAATCTCAATGTCAGTATTAGAGCAGTGTGAATTATCACAGTCAGTTTCTTTTTTAGATTAAAGTTGTTTGAGGGCAGAGTTTCCAGTTCTTCCCCTTACTCTTCCATTCCTAATATTGTTACAAATGTCTAAAGTATGTCTCAAGTGGCAACACCATTTTTCTGTTCTTTGATACTATTGCCTTCTCCTACTGCTACTGGATTTCAGCCTTTTGACAGGCACTATTTTTAACCACAGATGCATTTTTGTTACTTGGCTGCTTCAGTCTAGTTTAAAGCCCTTTATTCCAGCTTCTGTATGTGTGATGTGGTAGGGTATATGGAGAGGCCGCAACCATCTGCAGCAGCAGACTGGAAACTCCAGAGGTCAGACCACCATACTCTGAACACCAGAGGACAAGACGAACCTCTCCACTATCATTCCTTTCTTTCCGGAGAGCAGTAGTTTTTTATATGGTAACATGGTGTCTGTACTTAATCCATCTCGGGTTCGTTTGCTGTGTGAGCACATGTTAATGAAGCCGAAGCACTGTGAAGAAGAGTTACAAAGATGATAGGAACTTAGAAATGATCTTTGTTAGAGAAGCAAGCTAGCTTCAGTGAGCAAAAACAAAGCACCTTGTGCAAACAGTCTCTTTTGTAAGCTCATTGTACTCTCTGTTAAAACTAGATGGATTTTTTTGCCCTTTCAGTTCCTTTTGGAAGGTGAATAAATGCTGAACTGTGTGGGTTTTATTGCTTTCTCGGAACTATTTGTCTCTCTTGCCTTTTTCCATCAGGTCTTTGTTGCTGAAAGTAATCTAAATCTTTATTAGTTATGGCTCCAAAGAGATACAAAGGTCTGAGAACTCTATCCCTAATGCTCTGTGCAGATTTAAAATCTTTTTAATGATCATCTGCTAGAAGGATTGATTTACAGGGAATAAGTTTACAGTTTATATTACTTACTTCTACTGTATGACCATTGGGAAGACATATATCAGTAAGCAGTTGAAAAATGTTAAATGCCAAGAAAAGAGGGGAATATGTATGGTGAGAAGGAATGGCTAAGAATAAACTGGGAAGGTGTGTTATCTGGATTGGATATCACGTAAAGGTGCCTTGATGAAGTATCATCACTTTTACATGACTTCATTTTTTTGTTTTAAAGTGTTCCAGAAAGGGAAGAAGAAGCTTTACTAAGAAATAATCAGAAGATACTTGTAATCTGACTTACTTACCTACAAGCCACATAATCTTTAATACAGATTGCATAGGTCGTCTTATTATAGCCTATAGGTCTCGTGTAGTCTAGAGAAATGTCCTGCTAAATACTTAAAGCATCTCGCACTGTCTGCCTGTAAAAATGTGTAAGTCTATAAATACTTGGATAAATTTTATTTTGAGCAAAGATGGTGCTGTCGTGTAACACTTTCCACATATGTGATACCTGTATGGATGGAGGTTGTAGGTACAGTAGACCTAAGGTTTGTGTTGTTTTCACAGCTGGTATTTCCTGGCCTTGCTCTTCTTCAGTTTATAGTCTTTCCAGTCTGGCAGGGTTTTAAGTTATCTGTATAGCAGCACTGTATGGATTGTGGATCCTTAGTTTGACAGGAATACTACCAGAACTCTTCCAGTTTGCCACTGATTTTGAAAATCTTAAGGAGAAGCTTTCATACAGATCGGATAAACTTCCATGCACACCTCTAAAAAGCAGAAAATATACGTGCCAGTTCATTGATGGCAGAGAGTGTAACGATGGATGGTGAAATTGGAAGTTAGTGGGAAGATTAAATATTTGCGATGTAGCTGTAAAAATTTCCTATTCAAATTGCCCTAATACTTTTATCTACCTTGTCTTTCCAGATAGCGTGAAAAAATATTGTAAGGCATTTGCCAGATGAAAAATAAGGAAAAAGATTAATCTTATGTGTACAAATTATGGTGAAGGATTCTGTTGATAATTGCAGACCACTTTAACATTGCTTTTGTTGTTTATCTCAAAAACTCCTTGACAGATTTATCACTGCTGTAAGGATTACTTAATTGTACATTTATTTTCCTCTTTTTTTCTTTTAGTTGGAACTAAATTATTGTGTCTTCTTATCAATCTAGTCCTGGTGGAGCAGGATGTCCAATCGATTCCGCAAGCTGAAGTTGACTCAGACATTGCGCCATGGATTTCCCTCCAATCAGTTTGTGCCTTTTCCTGATGAGCCTGAACCATCATTAAATTCCACCATAAAAGCAATTTCACAGAGCGATACAGACACCTCTGGAAACCTTGATGCTGCTACATCTCGGATCACAAATAACAAAGCTGGTGGTAAAGCTAGAGTTGTCTTGTGGGAAGTGAGCTCTTGTGGGGTAGTCAAGATGGTACTATTTTAACTTATTGATTTAGTTTTTATTTAGCTTAATATAACTGAAAAGACACGTAATGTATTTGTAGTATATATACAGAGAGATGTTTGTACTCCTGACTCTTGATCGTGCTGAATGCTGAGCGCAGCATCATTTAAGCCGGAAAATGCTAATATAACCATGTTACTGTTCTGTAGCAAGCACCATTAAATTGTGCAGTAGAGGCAGGTCACTCAAAAGTTCTTTGTATCTTAGTATCTTTGATAAACGAATTTATACAATGAAAACCAATTTATTTAAACAAATAAATAAATAATTCTGAGAAGAAAGAGAGCTTGGAAAACCCCAAATCGTAAAGCACATCTACTGAAACTGCACAGCTTTCCATGCAAAATCTCCACAGTTTGTGATGTGAAATAAGACTATTGGCTTAACTTTAATTTAGGTACATGACAGTGTCACTGGAAATCTTGGTTCTGTGTGCTTACTGAGGGTAAAGCTGTTGAATGTTTAAAAACAATAAGCTATCCTTGAGAACAAAAGTAAGAGTGTGTAAACAATAAAACATCATTTATATATTTTTCAGGTGTAAACACTGCAAAAGGAGGAAAGGATGATGAATTATTGACAACCATGGTATGTCGCAGTTTTCTTGGTGCGTTCAGGCCAATTCAGGTGGTCATGCAGCTCCCATCATTTTTATTTTTTTATTTCCTCCTATCCAAGTCACCATTAGAAAGAGAGCTATCATTTGTTTATAGTCACTAGACAGGAACTGACAGGCTGTGATACATCAGTAGTCCTTAGACTAGGAAGTACTACAAGTGGTATGGTATGGAAGCTGTTCACAGGCACTGACTTTTTTCAAGAGTTACCCATACCTTTGTATGATCAGCAATGAATTAGTAAAATAGACGGAACAGCTGATTAGTTGCTGACAAGCAGTATGCTGTGAGGAAAACATGGATGGAACATGGTACAATGTGAAAGTGAGAAATTACTAGTAGAGGCAACCATGAATATTTAGTTTGGGGTGTTTATTTGTATTATGCTATTTCTTCTTTTGTTATGCTGTAGCTTTAAATTCCCCTACAGCTTACTCCCTGGAGATATCATTAAATTTGGCTGATTATCCTTTATGTTCTTTTTTAAGAAGATGGAGTAACTTTTGATGTGACTGACTGACAGAAGTCCAGGGAGCCAAATAAGTTACGTTGTTTTTTTCTCTTTCTGGAGAACATATACAGCAGGAACAGGCAGTTGTTCACTGTTTCCAGGTGTCCTGTCTGGGAATACAGAGCGGACTACCTTGTTATTACTTTGGAAATTAATTATTAACATTCCTGTTAAAATCAATTTGAAGCAAGATTCAGCCCAGTGAAGGACGAGACAGTTTCTGCCACGTAACAAACTATATTCATTGTATTAAATGAATGAGCGTACTGACGGGTGCCAGAATGTCCATTGGATTCTCTCTGTTATTATGTGTTGTACATCTTCACAAATACTACTTTTGTGTTTCGTTTCCATTTTATTTTGTTCAAAAATGCATTTGTCTCCATCTTTTTATTTAACTTACAATTTTTAAACTACATCATCAACCCACAGTAATCTTTCTTAAGAAGAGGCTCTTTTCTTTTTCCCTTTCTTTGTTTCTCTCTCAGTTGAGAAGTAGTGCTCCATTTACCAGGCTGCCCAGCGATAAACTGAAAGCAGTGATACCGCCTTTCTTACCGCCCTCAAGTTTTGAGCTTTGGAATTCTGACCGAACACGACTCAGCAAAGATGGCAAAGCTGAACAGATGAGAACTGCCTGGCCACAGAGAGCGATCAAGCACGATTTTAACAGCAGTGGGAACTCTGATACAGTAAGCAAACAAAATGTGTACAAAAATACTGTGTTATGTCCAGCCCATGCTGACTGGTGAGCCACACTGTGTTTCTGATTAGAAATTACTTTAAAACCACTGTCTCAGTAATGGCTTGTCCTTTTAAGCTCTGCTGTTTAGGAAGAATACACTTCTCTGTGGAAGGAACATAAATGGAACAAAAGCTTTGTATGAAATGAAACGACTTGCTTGCTCCTAACCAGAATAAAGTTGAGCCCTAACGAATTTGCTGCAAACTGCTAAAGTGGCTGCTGGTTCCACCTATATATTTTAGTTGCCAAAGTAGGTACAGTCATTGGAGTGTGGCGGAAACTGCTCTGATTTGGAAGAAGACTAAGGGCAGAAGAAAAGAATGAAAGTTTCTCAATTTTTAGGAGCTGGGGGGGAGGAAAGAAGTATCAGAGAGACATAACATTCTGAAAGATTAGTAATAGATAAAATTGTAGCAATTAGTGATCAAGTGGGTTTGAAGGCATACAGCCTTAAAGTGCAAGTACTGTAAAAAGGGAAAAAGTCTGAATGAATTCTATTTTTTTTAATAGAAGGAGGTTGCCTGATTCTACAATGTTTTTAGTGAAAATGCAAAACAAAAGAAAATAGCTTGTTTATCTTGAGACAGGAAGCAAAGCAACCTCGACAACCTTTGCTTTCATAGTTAGAAGGAGAAAAAGGAGAAGTGCTTACTCCCCGGACTTTTAGACTCTAATAGCCAAGTGTAAAGAAGAGTTTATTTTACTAGTTCAGAACTGTATTTCATGTCAGTTCTAGAAATGGGACAATGAAGACATTTTAGGAGGAATTTTTTCGTCTTCCTTTTTTAAGTGAAAGTTAGCTTACTACCAGTAGAGGTGTTTTAGGTGGAAAAAGGTGGAGTATTAGAAGGAAAGTGATAGATCACAGGAAGGTAAATGTTCATCATCCTAAAAAAGATGATTGTAATAACATAAGTAGATAATTGGCACCCGTATATAAAATGAGGAGCAGGGGAAGTAGGGGAGGACTAGCCATCAGTCCTTCTGTGGGGAAAGAAGGGTTTTGCTAAGGGAATAGGGGGAAGGAGAGAAACCTAGTAAGTCAGAGTCAGAAGAAGTCATTTGAGCAACAGGGTAAGAAGGATGAAAAAGCTGAACTCCAAGAGTCATATGTCAGATGGTTGGGAGTGGCCAGTGGTGTAAAAGCAAAAGAATTGAAAGAGGATGTGGATGTGGCTGAGGATTTGGCTAGTCTATAGCTAGATCATTAGTGCGTCAGTTAACAATAGTCAATAAAATGGTGCAGGTAGATGTTTAGATTGAAGGGGATATGAAAATGCAAAGTTCATGTCACTTGTTGCAGCTTAGTTAGTAAGAAACAGGGAGATGATGGATGAGAAGTAGGTGGTAGCTGTTTTGTAAGATGGGAGAGACAAAACCAGGATTCTGCAGCAAAGAAGTTCCCCCCCCACCCCGCCCCACTGCTTGTAATACTGTGTATATCATATCTCAGGTGCATCGTATATGCTCATTTTGTGTTGGCCAAAGGTTAAGGAGAATTAATGACTTTATTATGGTGTCATTTCTTTTGTTGAATATATATATATTCAATGTATATCTATTCATATAAATATATATTCAATATATTTGTATATGTAAAATAAGATTATTTCTGATATCCCTTTTGTTCTTCAATGGAAGTTTGAGAACTTAATGGTAAATAAAATAGCAGTTGATCTTTGTCTTGCTCAAACAAGAAAGATGAAAATTATTTTTCTTTTTGTTTTCCAGACATCTGTTAGCAAAGGAACTAGACCAGTCAAATTACCAACATTTGCAAGAAGACCTGCATCTCCTTCAAATTCCAACAACTTCAACCATTCTCCCCATTCTTCTGCTGGATCCAATAACATTGCAGGAATTAACAGGCATGGAGGAGAACTGCATAACAGATCAGGTACCATGCTGCTTTTGTTTTTAATAAGAAAGTTATTTGTATCTGGTTCAGCTAAAAAAGTAGCGTTTGTGATGGTGGTAGAAGATAGTAAACCTTTTTGAGGGCTCCTACTGATGTATAAGCAAAACTTCTATAAATTTTGTTGGAACAGCATTGGACTTTGGACACCTGCATAAGGGAACAAGAGCCTCACATCTGTTATAGAAATCTCATAGGTTATCCCCTGTCTCAGAAAAAACATGTTGATTTTATTGAGTCCACCCACGATGGAACAGGTGGAAGCTTGTTCATTGCAACATACATTTCATAGAGCTGTCTCTTACCCATGTTGCTTGCTTTTTGTTTAAAATAAAAATTGGTTTTCCATTAAAAACAAAGTGTGTAAACAAAGCTGCAAGCATTGTATCTGGCAGCTGTAAAGACAATATGGTGAAGCAGCTCATGAAACCTATATCCAAGAGTATGAAAGTCAGCTCTGTCTGCGTATAGACAAGGCTGTCTTCTTCTGCGCTTGATTTTTGTTCCCTTTCCTGAAAGCTGCTGAACAGGACTGAACCTTACAATTATCTCTCCTACTTCATCCAGTCAGTTTTTAAAAGAGAGTGAGTGGTGGAGAGAGGTGAATTGAGAATTAACAAATATTTAAAAATGATGGTTTCCTTGACTCTGTTTTTATTTTATTTTTTTCTTAGGTGGCAGTGCAGATAATGTTTTGTCTCAGATTGCAGCCCAGAGAAGAAAAGCAGCAGGCTTACCTGAACAGAAACCCAGCCAACAGCATAGTCCAGTCCAGTCAACTCCTTCATCCACTCTGTCTGATTTACAGTGTGCTCAAATTGTTGGCAACGGGCATGTTGTAAAGGTACAGAAAAATGTAAATTTTTGTACTTCCAAATTGGCTAATTTTAATAGGTCATGTCTCAGTCATGGATGGTTGATAAATATAACTGCATGACATTGCACAGCCTAAAATGAAAGAACACCTGTTACAGTAGTGGAAACTTTTCAGCTCCACAAACCTTCCTTTTAATTACAAGTCTATAACACATCAGACCTAACAATAAAACATTATTTTGATTTAGTATTAATTTCACTCTATTTTAAAAACAGTAAATACAATACTTGATCTTAGGGTAGATCTGCACTGTTATTTTGGTTTCTTGTTATTTCTTTCTATGACCCTGATTGAGTCCAGTGTTTTATGTTAGTTATTCCTGGGCTTTACTCTGAAGTGGTATAGCTAGTTTCCCTCCAAAGGCACAACCTGAGTGCAGAACATGACATAATTTGTACCAGGATCTGCCGACCACAACAATATGTGCAAATCCAGTCTGCTCCACAAGGTGTTATTTTTAAACAGTATGAACATTAAGTTGTCATCACCAAAGTCAGGTTTTGCTCCTGAGTGCAGGCCGTATTCTCTGCACTGACTTACCTATCAATTTCCTGGAATAGATTTATCCTCATGACCTGCCCATTTTTGTGCATGTACTTTGAAGTTAACAACTGCTTTGTACAAAATTTCTAAGGATTAAGAATGTAAATCTTCAAAATCTGCAGAGACACGAGTTAGAAAGCAGCATCATAACAGAAGATGTGATACACTATTGTGAAACGTATGGGTTTATTCACACAGGGAAACATTACATTTCAGAGAGCAAGAGAAAGAAAGCAAATTATTTGTGGTTTTAGTTCTAATGTCTGGTTTTATGAAAATGTTAAAATACACAACCAAGAGCAAAATTTCTCAACTTTTTGCTTGTGTAATCTCCAACCAGCTCATTTTGCTTTGTTTTGTTTTCTTTGCATCTTTTCATGAGATTCTTCTTGAAGTTTTGCCCTAAGAAACAAAAACGGCCAGAGTATAAAATTATTACATTTGCTATCTTGTTCTGTGATGCCTTATATGGCAACAGGAAGCGATATGTATATTTAATCCATAAATATCAATGATAAATGAAGTTACAAAGCTATTCAGTGATTTAATTGAAATTTCTGGAGGACAAATTCAGAAAAAGAAAAGTGTGCAACTACCAATGCTGAAACAATTTCCATGAATAGTCACTTTGTCTCTGATCTGTGAGTCCTGATTCTGAAGGGACTACTGGTTGCTTTTCAAAGATGAGATGGGGAGCTAAAATTTATAGCTCCGCTGGACCCCCAAAAACTATGGAGTCATACTGATTCTTTGGCACATGATAATCTTTCCTCCCTTTCTATTCCACGTAACTGCTCCCCGGGTTATAAATGATCTATCTCTTTCTCTCCTGTAGACAAAGCCACTTTATTATCCTCTTCACTCATTAAAGTCTCCTCTACTGAACAGCTACCAAATGCTTTTTCTTTCAGAAGTGGTCTGACCAATATATTTCTAATTAAACTCTCAGCAGTTCCTCTCAGCTTGTTTTTATCTTGGAAATAATTTCAGAAGAGCTCCTTGTGTGCCCCAGAAAATCTTATTTTTCTCCAGTTATATTAGTTAGCCTATTAAGAGATAATACCTGTGCCTGTGAGCTTTGGGCTGCAGATCTTGGGGCCTGTTCCTATAACAGTGCTGCTACTAAGGAGTTTAACTATTATTCCCACTCACAGTGGAAGACAGTAGGAGATAAAGAAGTAGTGAGGTGCAATGCCCTGCAGATCATCTTCTGGGAAGGCAGTTCATCGTACTGTTGAAAAGATTTTTAAATAAAAATGATGCCAGTATGTTGGAAAGGCAACAGCTCTTTCAGTGCTCTTTGCTTAGATGTCTAGATGAATTTCAGTCTATCCACGAGTAACAAAACATGTAATCAGTGTGGATCTTGCTATAGGTGCTCATGTATCACATGTCTGAGGTGACTTTTAGGACATCAGTGTCTGTTGGGAGTACACAATCACATACAGATCCACGCTGGCTGCAAAAGCTTAAACAGTCTACTTTGTTGTTGTAATCAACAACATAAATGCTGAAAATTTAATGTCTATATCCATTGTGGAAATGCTTGTGCCCTCTCATTAGGATCATGCTGTCTAAACTTGGAAATAGCTCATCTAAAAATGCAGCGATGTTACACTGATCAATTTGCAAAAGTTATCCATGAGGCGTGGGATTGTACAAGCCTTAAAGAAAGGAGAAGGAAAACTGAATAACAATTTACAGGGGGATGTAATTTAAATAAATGTAGTCAATGCGCTAGAGAGGGAAGGCCATTCTGAAACACAAATGGCCAATAACAGAATACAGGGAAATTTGGGACAAAAAATTGAAATGAGTTCACAATGCTCTTCAGAGACCTCTCAAATTTGTATCATGCTACGTTATTTCTAGTCAATTCAGTGCGGGGCTAAGTAGGTAGTACATTCTGGCATAGGATAGAGTAATGGAAGAATGTTACCACTCAAATCAGTTTTATCTTTTTATTCTGCATCTCTTTCATTAAGTAGAAAAGTTCCATTTATGCTGTAGCACAGAAGCAAAATTGTAGAGAGGCAGGAACCACTGTCATTGTCCCTTCTTGCCTTGTTACCCAGTTCAGCTTTTTTCTTGGGTTTTTCTTGTAGCAGCCTGACTGACAAAAGGTATTTTAAGTTAAACTCTGAATTCAGGAATCCAGGAGAAAATCACCTAAGACTTCTTTTTAGGTCATGTAATGCAAACATCGAAATGTGTGAAGGGATACATAGATTGAGGAATTTAGGAGATGAGGTACATTAACTTGTTTTGGAAAAGACTGATATACATACATATATATTCTTATTCCTCATTTTAATTCATCTATTTTCCTGTTTTCCATGCCTCTGAATGTATTGAATATTTGCAAAATATTTAATAAATGTGAATCCTTTGACTCATGTTAGGTAATAACAAGTTTAGGGGTTGACTGGAAACTTTCATTCCAGTGCAGCAAGGGGTTTAAATGCACCTGAAACTTAGTTTATGCTTGCTACATGTTTCTGGTTAATCCAGCATGAAGTGCTACTTTAAATTAGCATCTGATATACTTTGAAAAGCTTTAATTGAGGCTTTATTTATTTAATTAAATATCTGAATGAAAAAGACCTGTTTTCAGAGTCGAAGTAATTTCAGCTTTTATAAAAAGATTAATTGTAGTGCTTGTATATAGTATTGCTTTATAAGAAATAATTTTCCTATTCCAAAATTACAGCCTTAATAAATGTATTTTTCTTGATGAATTTAAGGGGACAGACTCTCACCTGGGATAAATCAGTATTGCTCCAAATATTGCAGTATGAATCAGGCAGAAGCTTCTAGTTGTGACTACATGCTCTGCAGAAATGATATGCAACTTAAGTAATACTGAAGCATCATATATAGGTAAACACTTTTTTTTAAAAACTGAAATGATTATATGATTAACTACAGCAAAAACTGGAGATGAACAAAAGACCTCCATCTGGGACTTCATCTACGTCTAAAAGCACATCACCAACTCTCACACCTTCCCCATCACCCTCCCCGTCTCCTAAGGTTCACAACGCAGAGTCCTCTCTCTCTTCTTCTCACAGACAGGCCAAGAGCAATGGTTCCAGCAGTGGTACTATTACAGAAGATGGTGAGTAGGTCACTGTAATTATAGGATATTCATTCATCAAGAGCTTATTTTTAACTTTAGGTCATCAGAAAGGATAATAATGTTATGACTTGTCCAATAAGATTGGAAAAATTAAGTTGAACTTTTAGGTCTAAACAACAACACTTTATTTTAAAAAGTCATGTTACTGCATTGGAAGCAGGATATCAATTACTTTGTTTTCTTCCTTAAACATCTCAAAAAAAGTGAAAAAAATAACATGACTCAGAATATTTTAAATAAGAGATGGAGGTACCTTTTATCTGGTTTCCGCAAGAGGCACTTTGTACTATTTTGGTTTTTTTGAAAGTGTCTGTATTGATTTTGTTTTGTTTTCCTTTGTGCTAACTTTGGCTATTGACACTGTACTTCCATTTGACACTAAATGTCAAGCAGGCAGGTCCTGCTTGACCAACCTGATCTCCTTCTATGACCGGGTGACCCGCCTAGTGGACGAGGGAAAGGCTGTGGATGTGGTCTACCTGGACTTCAGTAAGGCCTTTGACACTGTCTCCCACAGCATTCTCCTCGAGAAGCTGGCGGCTCACGGCTTAGACAGGTGTACTCTGCGCTGGGTCAAAAACTGGCTGGACGGCCGGGCCCAGAGAGTTGTGGTGAATGGAGTTAAACCCAGTTGGCGGCCGGTCACGAGCGGTGTTCCCCAGGGCTCAGTTTTGGGGCCGGTCTTGTTCAATATCTTTATCAATGATCTGGACGAAGGGATCGAGTGCACCCTCAGTAAGTTTGCAGATGACACCAAGTTGGGCGGCAGTGTTGATCTGCTGGAGGGTAGGAAGGCTCTGCAGAGGGACCTGGACAGGCTGGATCGATGGGCCGAGGCCAACTGTATGAGGTTCAACAAGGCCAAGGGCCGAGTCCTGCACTTTGGCCACAACAACCCCATGCAGCGCTACAGGCTTGGGGAAGAGTGGCTGGAAAGCTGCCTGGCGGAAAAGGACCTGGGGGTGTTGGTCGACAGCCGGCTGAACATGAGCCGGCAGTAGAAGGCCAACGGCATCCTGGCCTGTATCAGCAATGGTGTGGCCAGCAGGAGCAGGGAAGGGATATTGCCCCTGTACTCGGCACTGGTGAGGCCGCACCTCGAATGCTGTGTTCAGTTTTGGGCCCCTCACTACAAGAAGGACATTGAGGTGCTGGAGCGTGTCCAAGGAATGGCCATGAGGCTGGTGATGGGTCTGGAGAACAATTCTTCTGAGGAGCGGCTGAGGGAACTGGGGTTGTTCAGTCTGGAGAAGAGGAGGCTGAAGGGGGGAGACCTCATTGCTCTCTACAGCTACCTGAAAGGAGGTTGTAGCGAGGTGGGTGTCGGTCTCTTCTCCCAACTAACAAGCAATAGGACGAGAGGAAATGGCCTCAAGTTGCGCCAGGGGAGGTTTAGATTGGACATGAGGAAAAATTTCTTTGCTGAAAGAGTGGTTAAACATTGGACCAGGCTGCCCAGGGAAGTGGTTGAGTCACCATCCCTGGAAGTATTTAAAAGACGGGTAGATGAGGCGCTTAGGGACATGGTTTAGTGGGCACGGTGGTGTTGGGTTGATGGTTGGACTCGATGATCTTAGAGGTCTTTTCCAACCTTAATGATTCTATGATTCTATGATAGAGAGAGGTGATATTTGACTCGCTTTCTATCCTTCTATCATGGTTTAGCTGTAACGTATTGACTGCTGGAGAAAATCCTTTTTCATTTTAGTTAGTGCCATTTTATAATGATGGCTTGATAATGTGAAGAGTTGTCGGTTTAGAAATATATAAAGGGAAGAGAACTCGCTGCTGGATAACAAGGGGAATTCCCCAAGCTATCAGCTGTTCTAATCTCGCCTGGTGAAGCTGGGCTTTGTGACTGCACAACTAGTGCCATGATACAGTGAGTTTCCTCTGTAGCAGAGGGATGGGTTGTCAGAAGCCTAAGTAGTTCTGGGTTCATTGTGCTTGTAAGCTTTCGTACTTAAGTGGTCCTTTAATTCAAGGGCTTCTCTTACCGTGATTTGATTCAGCAGCAACAGTACAAATGCTCATAGGCCCAGCAGTAATCAGAAGAATAAGTACAGAAGGCCTGCAACGTTAACTTTTCTTTTTCTTTCAAGTAAACTTAATTAGAAAATTGATTTACATTGAACATTACTGTGAAGGAATAGTAGGCAGCAGGGTTCAGAGTTGTGTGTGGTTTCTTTTTAGGCAACCACTTGGTGGACCATCAACAGCTTGTCCCTATTCTGAGAACCAGTGATGTGGAGAATCATGAAAGACGAAACCATGCGAGAATAAAAGGAGGCTCTGAAAACTTGGAGAAAGGTAATCTTACCCTACTACTACAGAGTAGTACAAAAGAGGTGCTAAATAGGAGTAATGTGGCAGAAGTAGTACTCCAGCTTTCTCCAGGAATGTAGGAGTGTAAGGAGACAAGATACGAATAGAGCAAAAGAAAGACTTAGTGAAAACGCAAAGGAGAAACAATATGTTATGCAAGAGTTGTAAAACAGGGAGGTTTCAGGTTTTGTTCAATCTTAATGTATGATACAGGTGAAAGAGGAAAAGAAAACATGAAAGGCTACAGCTCAAAGCATTGTCTCTGTGTGTGAAAAGTGTTAGATGTTATAGTTGTTTATGACAGCAAGGCTCTGGGCTCAGAGACCCTGAAAGTTTCTTCCCATTTCACAACCTATAATTTAAGCACACCAGTATGATGAAAAATGAGAAGGCTAACTAACAACCTAAAAGAAAAAAAGGTTGATAATATATCTAAGAATTTCTAATGAAACTTTTACTTTTTTTCTGTAAGATGATATTTTTCGTCAAACTGCATGGAGAAGTTCTCATGCTATGTTTTTAAAGCTGGTTACCTTTTCCCATGGATTAACCTCAGTTAGGGTGCTACAGCTTTTAGACTGAAACGATGCCAACCTTTAGTGGAATAGTGACGTCTTTACAATGAAAGTGAGTTTATATGGGGATTATTAAATATAGCTTGGTTGTGTAATGTAATCATTCATGTTCTTCATTTTGACTTTGACTCCTTAGTTTAACTGACCACTTTGGTACTTCGGGGGGCGGGGCAGAATTAGTCACCTGTGACAGCAAAGCAACAAAAATAAACAGAGTCCTTAGTTGAGAGAGGTAGTGTGTAATTGAGAGAGGTAATGTGGTGGCGGGTTGTTCTAAAACTGCACTTACGCTTTTTAACTGGCTAATCACATTTTAAACGTGTGGGAAGAGTCACTGTCAGGTCCTCCAACTTTTAATTTCCTTAGACTTTGAGAGAAAACCCAATATCCAGTGCTGTTAGCCTTGGAAGGTAAGCTTATGAAACTTAATTTCTGCACAGATTCCATCTTAGCTGGACTTCAGCTATCTGTGTTCAAGATGCCTGGATGTCAGGCATTTAAGGAGGAGAGGTATATGTACTGTTGTTGTATCAGTGTTTTGAATGAGCAGCTGGGTGGTTGCTTGCTCTACACTTTGCCCTCCTGGATCGTGACGTGGAAATATGCTGTTCAGTTCATTGCCTGCTTGAGGAGTTTTGCTGTCTAACCTGCATGATCTGGGTCAGCCATCTGGGGCCAAGCACCTGCGGTTTAGGCATTGAAGTGCCTGAGTTGTCCCTAGTGGTTTGGTTTTTTAAGATCCTTTTAATGAGGAAGAAAGGGCAATACAACAGAAAGATTTTATCCTAGCAAGGTAAGACTAGATGGAATTACAGTACATGGAAGTTGGTGAGAACACAATAAGCCAGTATTTTAATTTCTGATGCAGAGTAAATGTGATTGGGTTTTTCTTACCATATATCACTGTGTGGAATATATGTTTTAATATATATTTTCAGCAGTTAACAGTGCAGAAATCACTAAAATTTTTCCTGATCCATGGGGGGTGTGTGTTTTCTTTTTCTTTTCTATTATTACAGATGAGCTGACTGGCATCCTTAAAAAATTGTCACTTGAGAAATATCAGCCTATTTTTGAGGAACAAGAGGTATGTCTTTTTTAAAAGATTTATTTTTTACCATTTCAGAAAAAGTAGGGTGCGACACACATTGCATCAGAATTGTGATCCAGAATCTCAAATTTAAAGTTTTACAACCATTTCTGGTTGCAGAGAGGACCTTGAAACATGGACCAAGCGGTATTCATGGCGTTCTCCAGGATACTGCAAATGTCAGTGCTTTTTACACTGAAACTACAATTTTGATACAGATAGGTGCTTCAGATTTTTTTTTTCCCCTCTCTGTTTTTACACTCTACTTTTTCTATATATGTCTATATCCAATTTGGCTGAACAGTTTATAGGACATACTGTATCATCCCTGGAATCACAGCTGGAACCTCATTTGCAGATGGAGAACAGCAGGGTGTGAGTCACCAAGATGTCTGCTTTCTCTTCTTTATCCGCCTTGAATAAGCAACAGGAGAATTAAATTGGAGAACCTAAGCATCATTGTAGATGAGGCCTGTGACAGTGACTTGCCTGAAGGATGCAATGAAAGGAAACATTGCTGAAAATCAGTAAAATTAATTCATTACAGTGTTTAAGACAGTATCAGATCTGAGCGATAATTGTGTGTTTGTTTGGCCAAAGGCAGAGGGTAGCGAATGGACATACAATAAATTGACATTGCTGCAGAGTTCCGGATTCAGCACAACAAACACAATACGCTGGGCTTATTATCTGTTCCCCTACATGATAGGGAAGGGAGCATTTTATAGAAACGAGTGTGCTCTTCGTGTGAAGGTTATATCAATATGAAAAGTTTTAGATGTTTGTTCTTATCACAGCCTTACGGATGTGTTGATATAGTAAAAACTGATATATGAATAAACCCTAGGTTTTCCTCAGGAGACACTGGAAAAGTACACGCAATGTTCTGAAATTCAAAAAATACTTGCGGGGGGGGAGGGGGAAGAAAAGAAAAGAGAGAAATCTTAGGCTTATTCAGCTAGCTGCTACTGTAAGTAGAGGAATTTTTGTGGAGAGTATATATTTTGTATTGATAGAGCTTGTCTGAAAAAAGTTAAAAATCCATTAATATTTTAAATATACTGTCATAATTAATTGAATTATTAACAGCGGATTTAAAACCTGACAATGCTGGTAAAGTGGGTAGCATTTGGTGCTGGTAATTCATTAAAAATTTTTGTGTGCACAATATTTACAGTAAGTCTATACAATTAAAAAAACCCCGAAACACTTTTAAGCTGTAATAGTGAATCTTTGCCTAGGTAAATTGGTCTTGCCTTTTTTTCCTTTTTTTTTCATATGCAGGTGGATATGGAAGCCTTCCTTACACTTACTGATGGTGATCTGAAAGAGCTGGGTATTAAAACCGATGGATCAAGGCAGCAAATTTTGGCAGCTATTTCTGAACTGAATGCAGGAAAGGTACATTTTGAAGTACTGTACTTAGTAAATTAATTCAAGGTTTGCTTATATTGTTAATTCAACATACATTTCAAAATTCAGTTGCAGATGTTAGTTAGAAAAGCCAGATGAATGTCTTCCAAACAAAATATTTAATGTATTTGATTAGTGAAAAATATCTTCCGTTGTGGTACTCCCTGTTCTCTTTCATTAACTCTTTCCTAGTTCAGTGACTGTACAGTTCTTTTACAGAGTATTGGAAGTTATATCAGAAGCTACTGGTAACATAAACATTGGCAATATTGCAGTTACTGGATATTGATTTCACTGATGCTAAAAAGAATCCTCTGGCCACTATAGTCCAGCTAGAGAATATAATGTAAAAGGAAATGTCCCCTTTGTTTTGCCTAACAGTTTTTGATTTCTCTGTGATTCGGTAAATAGCACTTGTCTCATTCCTTACACTTCTGTTGCCTTTTAATTTTGTATTGACAATGAGCAGATTTGCTAAGAATGGCATACAGTAAGCAATGTTCTTGTCGGAGGGATTATGGACTGGAGCATGTCTTTAATTAGGCCTGCTGACACTTCTCAGCTGCTTTTTCAGTTTTGAGGTCCATTCTCTCTCCAATACTGGAAGCTCGGATAAACAAAACATAAAGATAATTTCCCCAAGTTAAGATCAACCAGCAGCAAGTGATGAGGCTAAAAATTAGGGGAGGTGGATGATGCTCCATGCTATAAAGCTATGAAGAAAATAATGAAAATTTTTTATTGCTGTCTGGTAGTTTCAGGAAAAGATTACTATCAGGTTTTCTACATATCCAGGAGGTAAGGATTTGTTATTATTTATTTTTTAAACAGAAATTTAAGAATACCTTGTTTTAATTTATTGTGCTTTTACAGGGACGAGAGAGACAGATTTTACAAGAAACTATACACAACTTCCACTCTTCCTTTGAAAGTAGTGTTAGTAACACACGACCTCCAGGTCATTCCCAGTGTAAGTAGCACCTGAAATTAATTGAAAAATGTATGGATACTTTTAATTAATAGTGGCTAGAAGACAGAATGTGACAAACAAGCCAGTTAACTGCTTTCTGGGTTAATGATTGATGTGTGTCTGTGTCTTTTGCTGAGACTGTAGAGAAGATTTCAAGGTAAAAACGTAGAGTTATCTGTAAGATTTTTACACACACTTCAGTACTGTCTGAAGTAAGCATAAGATTTTTGTTACGCATTACTAAACACATAAAATGGATGTAAGTATAGCAAACTATAGTATACAGCATACTGTATACAGTGTGTGTATATATAGCAGCAGTGGGAAGTGCGTTTCTGTATGATACATAATTTACTTTTGCATACTTTTTATAGGAGACAATTTTCTTTAGTGTGATCAAGTAGATTAAATATATTCAAGGTTTACAATTTAGTATACTGGCGTAGACAGCTATGTTAATTATGTATTTATGTATGTATGCATTTAGTTATTTTGTAATATTTTTATATGATTGTCTATAGTCGGTTCCTTTAGAATACATCTATTCCAACCACCAGCATTAACTGCTAGCCATTGCTGGAGAAACTGCCTTTTAAAATGTACTGTCTATAATCAAAATGTACAGAAAGGTGTTGCTGACGTGTAACAAATGAATACATTTACTACAGTCACCCCTAGATATAAAAGTTGCAAATCTCTGTCCTGCCAGCCACCTGAACCAAAGACAGATATGCATCTGTTACTCAGGGTTAAGGAATGGGGCAAAACCTAGTCATATGTCTATTTCTGGATCCATGTTTTAGGAGGAACATGAAAGCTATTGAATGGCCTCGAGAAATTCACCATGTTAAAGTGCCTCTTACTCTCCTTCAGTTGCTTATTCTGCTGCTTACATAAACTCACAAAATCATTTCATTTGTTTAGTGGCTATGTTAAATAATATTTCAGGTTTTGTATGCTTTAGGAGGCCTTAATAATGAGCAAGTCCTAGTTCCAATCTCAGTCAGCTGAATATCACTAGACATGTGAAAGCAGGTGCTAACTGTAGTCCTACTGCTGTGTTGGGGAAAACTGGGCATTGCTGGGGTAGTTAGTCAATGTGGGCTACTTTCTGTAGAGTCTGCTTGGCTGAAAGCCACTATCAGGTGTCGCGGTATGCATTGTGCAGCTTACTTGCCATTCTCAGAGTAGTCAGCATGTATGGGAACTTCTGGATGTCTCTTGATAACATCCCAGACTTGAAGAGCCTCTTCTGTAGGTACTAGGTGAGCAGAAGCTGCTATTTGGGATTTGATAACATGGTGCAATGAACTGGAATTACGCATACAGATGTAACGAGTCTCCAAGCAACTTGCTGAGCCTAACCACTGAGCTTAAAAGTGTCTTGAAGACAGCAAAAGGATGGTAATGGTGGCATAGAGTTGGGGAGAACGTCCTTTTGTAAGAATGGAGGCAACAGTTGCTCCTGCTGACCAGCTGACGAGATGCTGCAAGGAGGCTGCCGTCAGAGATCTAGCTTTTGGGTTTTTGTATGTGAGAGCTCCATGAAATAGATTTGGCTGTGAAACAGCAACAGAAGCACTAGCAGAGAAGGAAGAGGAAGAGAACATGTAGATAAAAGAAGTTTCTGCACCAGGTAAGCTTTTTATTGTAAAAAGTAGCAGTGGGACCCTTATGCAGTCTCTGGAACTTGAAGTAATTTCCAGGAATGTCTAATATTTTAGAGCATAAGAGCAGCTGTACAGAGTCAGATCCAAGATCCATACAGTTGTGTTCAGCTTTTTCATCCGGTCTCATTTGACATTGGTGTGAAGAGCTGCTTGCTTTCGTTTGCTGTGAACTTGCCATGTCCTGACTTCTTTTGCTTCATCCTACTGGATCAGAAGATACAGTGGACAATTGTTTCCTCTTCACTGCCTCCATGCCACTGATGATTTTACAGATATCTGTGATACTCTTCCTCAAGCATGTTTTTTCCAAATGGAAGACTTACCGGCTGCTTAAACATTCCCTATACCATAGTTTTTCTGACCTCTTTTCCTTTTCTACTATATCCCTTCAGACTTGGAGATACCAGCCTAGCATGCAATATTCAAGATGTAGGCATACCGTGGATTTACACGTGACAGAGTGATGTTTGTTTTTTAGTTGTGTTCTCTCTTTTCAGTTCTCTTGCCCTTTCCTAGTTATTTCTAGTACTCTGCTTTTTTGACTATAACTGAAGACTGAATTGGTATTAATTAGAACTACCTCTTATAACCCAGCTCATCTACTGAGTTTGAGCTCAGAGCCTATCATTTTATATAACCACTCATACATCGTTTTTTCCGTATGCCTTACTTCATATTTATCTTCATCAAATTTTGTCTGCCATCTTATTGTTTGGGCACTGATGTCTCATGAAGTCCTTTTGCCAGTCTTCTGTTTGCCTTTTTATTTATATGGATAACTTAGGAAAGTTTGTCACTTCACTCTGTATGCCCTTTCGAAATCATATATTGAATATCCTGAGTCCTCATGCAGATCCCTATGAAATGCTAGTGGTGAATCTCTCTCTACTATGGAAAAAGTCACTGTTTACTCCCACCTTCTGTCCTCTGCCTTCCTAACCGATTATTTATCCACACAAGAAATTTTCTTTTTACCCTGTGGGTTCTTCATTGTCTTAAGAGCCAGCCTTGGACCTTGTGAAATGCCTTGTAAAAATCCAGGCATCAAGTGGACCTCTTTTGTCTCCAAGACTGTTGGCGCCTTCAAGGAATTCCAGTAGGTTGGTGAGGCAAGACTTTTCAAATCCCTTTTTGATTGTTTTGCACTAAATTTCAGATTCTTTGTTATAGCTTATGCTAATCTGCCTGGTACTACCGACCATCTCGCTGTTCTGTGTTTCCCTGGATCTCCTCTTGAACCATTAAAAAAAATTAGCATCATTTTTATCACTTCTCAGTTATGTGGCAATTTAAAGAAGAACCTGTGCTCTGTACTCAGCAGCTCGGCTGCTTAATCCTTGTGTTCCTCTAAAACATCTGGCTTAACAGTTTGTTATTGTTTGCTTTGTGTATTTGTTTCATAACCTTTTTTACCAATACTTCAGATTAAGATACCTTGGACTCCCACATAAAGAAGGCTTCTGAAATGGGAACCTTCCCAAGCTTTTCCATGGTGAATACATTTAGTTTTTCTGATGTGAACTTACTTCTCGAGCTCATTACAGTCTAATCATTGATTGGCATCATGGCATCTGTAACTGGCTGCCTCCTGTGATGTGTTTGAAAAGTAATATGTGAATTTTTTATGCTTTTTGCATGGTTCACAACCACTGGTTTCTCTACAGCTCTTCTAGGAGCCTATCTGGACACCATTAGCAGGAAAGCCACTTCATGGTTTGCCCTTTTAGAAAGCTAGATGTAGCTCACAGGATAATAAAAACATCCTGCTCTTCCAGCTGTGTCACTGTCACTGTTTTCACACCTATCACTGTGATTTCCTCAATATTTTGAGTCATTTTAAAAGCTCAATACCTAAAACGGAGTGGCTGCCAGCGTAGCTCTGCTTTTATGAAGTTTCCAGCCTATAGGGATGTAAAGAAGATAATGAAATACAATCCGAATGTATCCATAAGACTCAGAAATGAAAAAGCAGGGGAAAAGAAACTAAATCCTCACTTACTGGAAATGTATCTTATAATTGTGGGAGGTCTGTAGGCTGACTGCCATCACCAAGCTTGCGAATGTCTACAGCTTCTACACTCTTCCCCTTCCATAGCTCCAATGCCCACTTAGCTTCGGTTCCCCCCAAAATGCCCCAATCCACACTGCCCAGGCTCAGCCCCTCCCCTGCTGCCACTGGGTCAGGAGCTGTTGCTGCTCATGAAACCTGGTATGAGATGGCAGGCAACAGAAATAGAAAAGCATCTAGATGAGTGTTTCTAGAATGGAAAAGAGAACTGCAGTGATTATCTATGTTTACACTTCTAAGGAATGCAGTAGAAGGAAAACAATGAGAGGCAGAAAAAGTAAAAGCAAGACCATCAGAAGTAGAGGATTGAAATTGGTATAACCAATTTCACACAACAGGCTTGTTTAGGGAAGATACTAGAGTTTCTTCTCGATGTTTTTTTGGCAGTTCAAAATCAATTGCTGGCTTGTATCCTCAGCTAGCTTCTGGTTGAGCACCTCCTGCTGAGGTCATTGCTTCTGAACTAGCTGTGATACTACAAGAGCTCGTAGAAAAGTTGTTGAGTGTTTGCTGGGTTTCGGCAGATGAGCTATTTCAATTATAATAAAGGTCACAGTTGGGAGAAAGATTCCTTTGTACGTCAAGTTGCTGTGTCATCCCTGGGGCTGGAAGCGAGACGATTCTGCTTTGCGGAAGACAACAGGCTTTGACATACATTTGTTTTCTGTCAGAAGGATACTGAGACCGCTTCCTCCCCACCCCACGCCAGCGATACTAGGTTAGGCTGTGGGAGCTCCATATTCCAGTCCTTGCCTGAACTGCATAAGGCAGATGACTGCCCTACCTGCAGTAAAAATAATTCAGTGGGTACTGGACACGTAAGCCATTAGGTTCGAGGGCACCATAGATCTTGTCCCTATTCTGAACAGGCAAACAGTACATGCATGGAGAGTGTTGCCTCCATCTCTTTTTTTAACGGAAATGAATTGGTGACCTTCAGAAAATTCTGCCAAAATGAATTCATTGCAAGAGTGAATGTTACGGATTTTTTTGACGCTTTGGTAGTTTTCAAGGGAAAAAAAAATACGGCTTGGAAAATTGCCAATGCATGCTAATCACCCTGTCCTTGATAAGAGAAACTACTAGGAAGATACTGCTTCTTTATAACTCAGTGAACTGTGTCAAACAAACACAGAGTTAGCTTGCTGCTTCACCATTTAAATTTAGAGCAGATGACCAGCGCGTGGAGGCATGAGGCACAGCGACTGCTCTGAGGAACAAAACATGCCTCCTTTGTCTGGACTCCCAACTTCAATGAAACAGCAAGTGGCAGCGTGAAGTCCAGATTTCTGAGGAAACTGGATTTAAGAAATTATATCACCCTGGGAAATGTTTATGTTTGTAGTTTGAGGTGACCTTTTTGCTTACATGATTCTAGTAAAAGAGAAAATCAGACTTTTTGAACGCCTAATTGCCAGGACTAATTGTTTAGGGTTTTTTTTTTTTTTTTTCTCGTTTCTTTTGTTTGTATTAATATTTCAGGTTGGAAAAATATCCAAAAACAAAAAGAAAAAACTGAAGAAAAAACAGAAGAGACAAGCTGAGCTGTTAGAAAAACGCCTGCAGGAAATAGAAGAACTAGAGCGAGAAGCCGAAAGGAAAAAAATAGAAGAAAATGTAACTTCAGCTGTACCATCAAATGAACAAGAAGATGAGTACCACCCAGAGGTGAAACTAAAAACAGCTGATATAGAAGAGGTAGTAGATGAAGAACCTGGAAATGATGATGGTTAGTATTACTTGCTTTTATTGACCCTGAATTTACAGTTTCAGAGGGGAAAGTAATTGCAGCATTGCATCTGGTGCAATGAACAAAATCTCCAAACTCTCCTAGATCGTTAAGTTTCATTTTCTCCTGTAGGTCAAGTCATAGCTACAAAGTCTAAAAAGGAAAAGGCAAACCTACTGTAGAAGTGAAGAAAAACATAATGATGAACTTTTTTTTTTTGTTTTTTTTTTTTTTTTTTGGGGGGGGGGGGGGGGGGAGTGTCAAGATTCATGCAGTCATCAAGTGGCTAATTAAAGGGTTGAACAGATCTGGCAACGGTCTGCAGGTTAGTTGAAAGAAATGACACCAAAGGAGAGAGAGCTGCATCTCAACACAGACTTGCCAAATCAGAAACGAAAAGCTGAAAAAAGTTCATGTGGATTCTATGAAACTCTATGGGAAAAAAAAGGAGCAAACCAACTGAAATGATTTGTTCCAGAAGAGTAGAAATAAAATCCCATATGCTAGTTATAATACATATGTAAGGAAGTGTTACATTTTAGATCTGTGATAAAAAATGGAAACAGTTATGGAGTTCCCTTGCCCAAGTCTGGGGCTTGTAACAGAATTTGCCATTTCTACAAAGATCACATGAAAAAAGCAAGAGAGCATCCAAGGTTTATACTCTGAAGGACACAATCTTCTTTTTCTCCTAGGGCATTTCTTAACCTCGTCATGAAAATTAACAAAGATTTGTTGGAGGTAAAGCTAACTGCCAGTAGCTTAGTTTACCTTCTAATATCAAGTTTATTGAAATGCTCGAAAGAAAAAGATGAGCCTCGTCACTTGGTATAGGCATCCAGCTGCTCTCCCCCACCTAAACATAACACTTCTCTTATAACAGGTGGGAAGAGAACACCCCAACATCTGGCAGGGGCACTGAACAAAGGGAGGATTTAGATATCAAAAGAATAAACTGAATATTCTCCAGATACAAGTTAAATGAAGAGTAACTACGCCTAAGATGAAAAAAGAATATGATACTATATGATGCATATAATGAATATGATAATATTCATTCTATAATTCTTTGCGGAAATTCTGGTCTTCCGGTTTCTCTTTACATATGATAGTATGATGCATATTGAGACGTCTGTACACATACGTATCTGCAGATACATACATAGGTATTTTAAAAGATGTGACACAATAAAGTGGAAGAGAGTGGGGAGTTGTTTGTACATTTACTTTCTACTTTTGGATTCAGAGTCAAAAATATCAAATGGAAGTTATCCAGAGGGAGGGAGTTACAGAGATTGCAGAGTGAGAAGTAAAAATGGGAGCAAAACCAATATAGACTTGCAAGTAAAAATCATACAGGATTCAGGTGGTCACTTGCTGGAAAGGTACACATTGAGAAAACAGAGATACTGGAAAGGTTTGTGGCAGTAGATGACCTTTTCACACGTGACTTTGACTTTTCATACCTTCTTCGCACAGGAAGGGGCTTAAGATGAGTAAAATGAATTACAGGGTCAAATTGTTGGAGTCTGGTATAACAATGATACTGGGAAATGTGGGCCTGTTTCTGGTAGTTGTGGAATTAGTCTGTCTTCTTTAAAGCTGTGAGTCTTGCTGGTGGCAGTTTTTCAGATTTTTTTTTTTCTTTTACAGCACCTGGCTGCTCTATAAAACCACAAGAAGCTGTTTCTCCTAAAAGGTAGCTACTGGAAAAAAAGATTTTTTTCTTATGGTGAAGTTTTGCATCTAGCTGAGTAAATCCAAGTGTACAAATGAAAATTTGAAAAGTTAGTCCTGACTACACCTGTATAGGACTTTCTGCAGTAATGTACCTAAAATTTGAATCCAACGCAGAATCAAAGAAAATAATAAAGAGATTGCTTTTATAGTTCAGCCTAAGTGTTGAATTGTTCAAGACGTCAGTGGTCTGGATTTGAGAAGAACGAAGTCAGAAGAGCAGGAAGAATGAATGACCATATAAGAAGATCGATGTTTTCATTCTACTCTTGCCCATAGATGAAGAACCCATAGGAGGCCTACAAGGACACAGTCAGGAACAACAAAAGCATGGAAGAAGGCATGAAAACCACCACGAATTATGAGAGCTTCTACATGGAGAAATATATAAACCGAATATGCCTCTATTGACTGGATACAGATAAAGGAGTCCAAATGGAAAATGTAATGGTTTCATGAGAAGGAATATAAAGGAGAAGGAATGCTGCGTTCTTCATTAACCAACATACACTTTATCTATTCAATATTAAGAGGTTAGAACAGCAGTGAAAGTAAATATGAAATACCTATTTGTAAAAATAGCACTTTATTTAAGGAAATGCATAATCTGTCACCAATATTTAAACAGAAATAGTGTTAAAATATTTTATATTGCTGATCGGTTGTTTTGAGAATAAAACCATTTAACTGATATTGCCTGGGTTTTTTTGAACAGTAACACTAGCAGGTCCTTAAAATATATTTTTATAACCTGATTTTTGTAATAATTTTGAAAGGACTAGTTACAGTAATTATGAGTGGAAGTAATTTTCTGCTTAGTAAATACAAATTTTTGTGGAGCAATTAAAATACAAGTCATCAGAAGCCTCTGACACTACATCTACCTTTCTGAAGACTCACAAATATGTAACTTTACCACTGGCTGAATTCAGCGTGAGTCCAGGGGTACTAATGCAGGTAAAGTCAAGAAGATCTTGGATCTCCAATGCTGAGGAGTGATCTCAAGTAATTACTTCTGTACAGAACTACAGATTTTACATTTCTCCACCCTCCTCACTGTACTGGTTTTAGTTGAGTTTAGCAAAAATAGGGATAGAATTGGGTGTAGTGATAGACAGAGATAACAGCACCAGTGAAAGCTGTCCCTCAGGTGCCTCTGGGTGTGTCAGCTGGTTCTGTGACAGCTCCGTTGGTTTGGCCATCTGAGGTACAGCTCCGAGCTGCTGACAGCAAACAGCAGAGCAGCTGAGCTGCACCAGGTTATGCAGCTGTGCCCTATCAGAGCTGACCTTGAACACAGGTAGCTAAATCCCTAGGAGGAAGAGGAGAAGAGGTTACAGAGGGGTATTGCAGAAAAAAAGATGGTTATGAGCTGATCAGGACAATCAGAGCCTGTTAGTACCTGAGGTCCTTGGCGGTCACGCTGTTAACATTTCAGGTGTTAATATGTGCAAAATAGTTTTTGTTCCATTTTTCTTTTTCAGTTCACATATGTCAACAAACTTATAACACTATCAACATTTAGTGTGGTATTTTATGTTTCCAACATGTCTTATGCCCAAGAAAATCACTCCTTATGCAGAATTCTGCTTCAGGATGATTTCAGCTTTAGGTTAGAAATACGTAATTTCTGCTTTCACAGTTTTCAAGAGCTGCTACTAAAGATGACATGGCAGGGCAGATCTACAGAAATGTTGGGTGCAAACCATATAGTATTAAACTAATGGCCCTGTCCTTTCCTGAAGAAATACGTGGACAGTTTTGGTTAAAACACTTCAAAATGCAGCAGAGAAATAATTGCAGCTTCTTACTAAGACTAGGAAACAGTTGCTGCTTCTGAGCCAAAAACGTGCAGTGGCACCTTGGAGCCCCTGTCAGTTTAACTGGGAGCGAGTGATCTGTAATGAGCCGGAACATCTTGCCTACTTCTAGTGCCTATGGGCCCTATGGCAGCACAATTTCCCTGTACAGTTTTGTGCTTTTAATGCAACGGGCGGCAATCCAAACATCCCATACGCTCTGCAGAGAGTCACCTCAAGCCCGCCAATGGGGAAACCTCAAGGTGAGGAGGCTTCAGTCGTTCCTGTTAAGACCTTGCGGGCCTTATTTGGAAGGAGAAGTACTCACTTGCAGTAAATTGAGGGGGTGGCTGTTCTTTTTGGGTTTTTAGGTCCTTTTCAATAAGACAATGAACAACAGTTCAGTGTGAAGAACACTTTGCAAGGCTGCGAGATGCATTATTTCTACAATCTAACAGGGTTCAGATGCATATGTACCACTGCCCAGAAGACTGTAGGAACCTCAAGGCTCTAAGGCAAGGTAGGGGCATGCTTCGTTCCTCTGGCTGAATCTGTCTCACTGTGCAGAAGATAATTCACGATTCACGGAGTGTGGCCCCGTAAGACGTTGGTCTAGGTTGGGGAAGAGTTAGGCTTTAGTTCCTCTAGTTGATATATTCATTTACCAATTCCTAAGCTACATAGTGACTGAGGATAAACAGTGCTATAAATTCGGGAATGTTAGCCAAAGCGCATCAAAGAACGAGCAGCAAAGCGATTTAAATGGAACATAACACTGACAAAGGAGACCGACCGGCGCACAAGTGTAGGCTCTTCGTGTTTACGCAACAGGCAGAAAGGGTTCCTCAGACCGTCCCATCAACAAGTCCCACTATTTAAAGAGTTAGCTTTATTAATGCAGGAACAAAAAAAAATGGGTTTAGAGTTTGGGAACCTTTCATATCTTCTGCTGCACTTATTTCTTAAAGGTGGTCTGTTCCTTCTGCCTGAAGGAACCTTTAGCTGCCATCATAATTGGAGAAAGAAAGCAGGTTGCTGACTATGGCTGCTTTTTGTGGCTCTGAGAGGAGGTACGTTTGAGACCGGCACCGACATTTACGTGTCTATGTGTCAGGGCTGACATGGGTAGCTGTATAAGCTCCACTGTAGGCAGCGGAGGTCTGGTCAGTACAGTCACTGGGGCCTCAAAAGCTGGTGTCTGACCAGCCTAGGCCAGAAGCTTGATTCAATTGTCCAGACATCCCCTGGCACTTGCTTGCCCTAAGGCATCCAAAGCGCCCATAAGGGGTGCCAGACATGACGCTAAGTGAAGGTTGTGATCAGTCTGTTTGTTGCAAACAGTCACTTGGACAAGGAGACCATTCAGAGATGGAGACCGTCATTTTATTGACCTGTCCTGATTTGTCACAGACATTCAAAGGTGAAAAGCTGTTTCCCATTTGCTGTTCATTTTCTGTGTCCTCCTTTTTAGCTCAAATGAAAATCTGTGTTAGCAAAGTTTGCTTACCTCATACTGAAAAGTGATACCTTCTGGGTTTTGCCGAAGAAGCAAACACTACAAGAAACAGTTCTTGTTTTGATTCAGTTTAGAATTATGGACTTGACTAATCTGTAGTTGTTAACCCTAAAATGTCTTATTTTGCTGAGGAGTACTGTTATTTTACAAGAAGCTTTTATAAGGTTCTTTGAATTTCTTTTTTTTTTCCCCCTGCACTTTGAGCATTAATCAAGATCAGATTTTAAATAAAGATACTTCGTTATCTGGAAATGATTCAAGCAGTCATCTGTAGTATTTCTCGTGCTTCAGCAAATGACTCAGAAGCCAGGAAGCTTCTCAAGGGAACGACTTCGGTTTCCAGAGTGAAGGGGAACATAAAAGTTCATGCGAACAGATTTCTTTAATACCAAGATCACCTTAGTTTAGAATTGCTTGGCTGGTCTGACTCTGACACTAATAGCCTCAAACTTGCCAATTCTAGATTTTATTTCAAAGCACTCTTGGCAGTACAAGGGTACATTTAGTGGGAACAGGCTTTGTCCATTAAACCTGAAACTTCTTATGTTGTATTTAAAGCTCATTTGGAATACTTAATGTCCAGTCTCTCAGAAGTTTGTATTATTGAAATAAACTGTTAATGCAATGTCCTCCTTAAAGTGTCACACCAAAGAACTGTTTCAAAGCAATTTTTGCCCCTTGTCATTCACAGCATTCTAGTGTGCATTAAAACTTAATGGCATTAACACAGTCATAAAAACAAAAGCGAATAGTTTTTTGAAGTATGATTGCCATATTCCCAACATTGCATCTATTGCATTTTAATTGGCTTCTTATTCCTCTCAGTTCTCATCAGCAGGTATGTACAACACTCTCAAAATAGGTCTGTCGGGTCTGAAGAGGAGTGCCGTATGATGGCTGTTAGCAGAGCGGCTAGTGCTCTACTGGAGCAGGGTTCTTGAAGGTGATAAAATGGGTAAATGTGAATGCAGAAAAACAGGCCCATTCAAGACACCTTCTTATAAATGGTTTAAAAATGTTCTGTGTTCACACATATACTTGATATGTGGCTGTGTGTTCTTGTTTTCAGTAAGCCTAAGCTATTTGTAACACCACAGAATGGGTGGCCTGCAATTAGCTGGAACAGAGATTTCTGTTTTGCTGAGTTGCGGAACAAAATCACTTTGCACAGAAAGCAGCCAGCAAAGTGCAATGGATTTGATCACCGTGGGCCTGATTTCAATTGTTCTCAACAGGACTCCTTCATATATGTTTTTTCCAAGTCACTCTCTGCTGCCAGTTTGTCCCAAGAAGGGGAAGATGGAATAAAAGGAAAACAAACTGAAAAAAGTGAGGGATAGAAGCACAGATGGTATTTTTACTAGGTTGGGATTACTGGTTTTCTTTCCAGGATCTGCCTCTCCTTTAGGCTGTTTCTTGAATAGTCAGAATTAATATTGAATGCCCTGGGACTCACTTTCTTCAGCAGTTCAGGACTCCAAAGCACTTACTTTTTGTCACAGACTTGATTCAAAATGCATTGCTCACATTCCTTTACTCAGACACAGAGCAAACAGAAAGCATCATTCTCTGTGCTGGTAATTAAATGGTGTATGTAGAGGTCTGCCTTTCCAGCCATCTGGGCCACAAAATACCAAATACAGCTCCAATTTATAGATGCTCCTAATACATTGTATTGTTTGTCTCCTATCATGCATTTTAATTGCTTTTTTGGTCTATATGTCAAGCACACACACAAACTGTAGTCCTTAACAATGCCACAGATTCGTTTCACAGAATCACAGAATGGCTGAGGCTGGAAGGGACCTTTGGAGGTCATCTTGTCCAACGCCCCCCCTGCTCAAGCAGGCCACCTAGAGCTGGTTGTCCGGGACCATGTCCATTGCTCTCCCCTCATCCACTGAGACAGTCATCATAGAAAGCTATCAGGTTGGTCAGACATGATTTCCTCTTTGTAAATCCATGCTCCATCTTAAAATATTTGGAAATGATTTCCAGGATTATTTTCTCTGTCACATTCCCCACAATCAAGGTGAGGCTGATTGGTTCTAGTTCTGTTGTGGTTTAACCTCAGTCAGCAACCAAGTACCACACAGCCGCTCGCTCACTCCTCCCCCCCTGCCCCCAGTGGGATGGGGGAGAGAATTGGAAGAGCACAAGTGAGAAAAACTCGTGGGTTGAGAGAAAAACAGTTTAATAATTGAAATAAAATAATAACAACAATATAGTAGTAGTAGTAATAATAATAATAATAATAATAATAATAATAATAATAATAATAATAATAATAATATAGGAAGGAAATTAACTCTATCCCTGC